GGGTACAAAAAATATGAAGGTAGTTTTTGCAAGAAAGGATCAACCGATTAAAATGATTCAAAAAACATTTTGCTTATGTTAAAGGTGTTCAAAGTTCAAATTTTTGATATTTTTCCAAATCTTGTAATTCATTAGAAATTACCTCCAAAAAAATCAAATCAGTAAAAATTTTCAAAATTATCAAAAAAATTGAATTTATTTTTCAAACAATCTAAAATATTCAAAGTTGTCAAGAAACCAATGCCAAATTTATTTCAAAAATTTCAAAAATTCTAAAAAGACTTTTTTTTTAAAAAAAATGCAAGTATTTTTTAATTAATTTGAAGTTTGCAAATTGCAAATTAGTTTCAAAATATATATATTTCATTGGCGTGGTTCTGAAAAATATGAGATAACATCCTCGGATGAGTTAATTCAAACTGGACTTGATAAGTTTATATATGTCCACGTTTTTTGTAAACATACTTAAGTTTTTAGTAAGATATTTTTTTTTTAATTTCTCTTTATTGAGTTACAATCTGTCTTTACAAAAAGGAAGACATTCAGTAATTTCGATGATATATGAAATATTAAACATTAGACCTAAAAGATTACCCAGTAGTAAGCCTTTTCAATTTTGATATATTGAATTTAAATATTGTGATTATATAGAGTGAACTTAAAAATAAAATGATCTATTGAGGTATATAAGTATAAATTGTGAATTATAACAACAAATAAAAAAAATACACAACTAATAAACTAAACATAATGAAAATAAATAGTGAGATAAAAGATGAAGCATAAAATTTGTAGTATTTATAATTATCTCTTTGAAGTTATTTAAAACTATTGTTATTAATCATTAATTAATTTTTATTAATTATAGAATTAACAATATTAATTGAATGTTTAATTTTTGTACGGGAAGTTCCAGCAATTTTCCTTGGCCAGGTACCACTAGTTTTATAAAAAAAAAACTAGTAAATTTCTCAATTAATTTACGGTAATTTTACTAAGAGCCTTTAGTAGTTTTTATAAACTTTTCTTTGGTATACTTATATAAATTAGTAACAGTAATTTTCTTAATTACTTGACTAATAATTGATATTTCATTATGAAATATTCAAAGCATAAAGTCAATGAATTGACTAATAAATCTGTATTAATTAATTAATTAAAAAAATTTGTTCTATAAGTTGCAGATACCTATAAAAAAACTGTAGTAAGCCGCGTGTTTTTTTAAGAGACGAAATTTTTAACATTTAACTGAAATTTCTTGAATAGTTTGGGTGAAACTATATATAAATAAAATTTATAAGAATTAATGTAAAATTGACATTACATGAATATAAATAATAACAGCTACTGATTTCAAAACCAAAATTATTATTTAAAATTTATATATTTTTATGCTTAGATTTTCATTATTTTTTAAAGAAGTAACTACATTTAAATTTTGTGTATCAACAGTCTGAAATCAAAATTGTTATAAACCAAATTAACATAACGATTCGTTTTTAATAAAATAAAGTTCGTAATTTTATTACAAACATTCATGTGATTTTTTACAATGAATCCTTCAACAAAATTAAAATCCGATCTTTTATCAACTCTAAAACCTTTGCACTACATTTGCTCCTTTGTCGGACTGGCTCCATATAGCCAAAACCACCAAAAAACTTACATCAATAAATATTTGGTGGTACTAAAACCTATTTTGGTCATCATGAACCATATTTACATTTGGCAATTAATGTCTAAACACCTCAGAATAACAAAAGGCACCAATATTTTGAACAAAGTTATGCAAATTGAGGATCAAATTTGGTGGCTAACCATACTTTTACTTGTTTGTCTAGAATTTTGTGTTAAAAATAAAATTGTTACATTTTTCAACGATTTGCAAAATCTGGAAATCGAATTTGGACAAATATTTTGGTCCCAAAATAGTTACAAAAATCTTCGGCGTTTTATTTTTAGTTATTTAAGTTTTTGTTTCGCATTTATGGTGGTTTGTACGCATTTTGATTTTTTGATTTATTATGATTTAGATGCAGTGAAGTTTTTTTGTAGTTTGCCATTTTTTACAGTTGTTTTGGGTTCTATAGGTATTTTTAGTTTGAAAATTGTGGCTTTAAATGTTTTAATAAAAGATCGGTTTAGAATTATTAATAGACAGTTTGGTGGTATGACTTGTAAATTTGATGTAAGAAAGGTAAGATTAGGATTAAGAAAATTTTTATATATCTTTTAAAGAAACCAAATTTTGAAGTCAGGACTAATATTGGTCAAACCAATATTGGCAAGACCAATCATTGAATTAAATTAAAAATTCGAAAGTTTACGTATATACTTTAATTAATTTGAAGTTCTGGAGTGCATAAATTTTATTGTCGTTATTCTTACAAATATGAGTAAAGATCCTAGGATGGATTCATTTTAAGATATTTTAAATTATTCGGCACGAAATGCAGATGTCTCTTCTTATTACTAATCATTTTTAATAAATTTATTCAGAGATTTAAGAGTTTTTTAAAATTAATTTTATAAAATGATTTAAATGAATAATTTTTATAATAGATTCTTCTTTGAAATTGAATATAATAATTATCTTATATATTTTTTCTATTAATCATGAAATATTTACTCTATTGATTATGGAATATTTCTCTATTAATTATGAAACATTTACTCTATTAATAATGTAATATTGAATGCACTATGTTAATGAAATAATAAAAAAACTGTACTAATTAATTAATTAATATATTCTAAGTAATAGCAAGAAAAGTTATCATTAAATTTCTTCATAAGTTAAAATGTGTTTGTATCGAATTTGGAACAATTGATATAAAAAATCTACATTTTTTTATTATTCTTAATAAAAAATAATAAATTTTCAAGTTCAAAGATATGAATTTAAAAATAAATATTAAACATATTTATATTTTGTTCAAGTTGTTTTAACTGTTTTACAAAAAGTTATACAAAATTCATTAAATAGTTTGAATTTATAAAATTGATATAAAACTGAAACAATTTAGCATATTAGCATATTAGTATTAAAATAATAATTATTTAAATGAATAAAACAGCCAATTGTTTCAACGTCGAACAAAAAATTCTCCAAATAATAATTATATAAATAAATTTAAAAATTTACAATTTTTTATGTATACAGTAATTTATGATATGATCTGTACCTAAATATAATTAGTATGAAAAGACACTCAGTTTTGATGATAAACTTAACAATTTTTTTAATTTATTTAGACAATTTTATGAGGAAGCCACGAAAAAGCTCGTTTTTAGTAAAATAGTGTAATTAATTACAAAAACTTTAGTAATTATCTTATTTATTTACTCTATCAATTATTTATATATAATTATGTGATATTGAATGCACTATGTTAACTAAATGATAACAAACTGTATTAATTAATTAATTAATTAATATGTTCTGAGTAATAACAAAAAATTTATCATTAAATTTCCTCATATCATAAAATATGTTTGTATCGAATTTTTATATGAACAATTTATATAAAAAATCTATATTTTTTGATCATACTTAATAAAAAAAAAAATTTTAAAGTTTATAGATATGAATTTAAAACCAAAATATTAATTTAATACTAATTTAAATTATTATTAAAATTACTAATTATTTAATTAGACATGTTACATAATTTATTGAAGTGTCAGGAGTTGAAAAATAAAATCCAAAAGCCATAAATTTATAAAATTTATAAATATTGATATAAAACTGACATTATTTAGCATATTAGTGTAAATTTATGTTTAACCGAGTAAAAAATAATAAATTTAAACGTTTATAGATATGAATTAAAACAAAATATTAATTTAATATCATTTTTAAATTTTATTAAAATTACTAATTATTTAATTAAACATGTTACAGATTTTATTGAAGTGTTAGGAGTTGTAAAAATAAAAGCCATAAATTTATAAAATTGATATAAAACTAAAAAGAGAAATTAGTTAGCATATTAGTGTTAAAATATTAATTATATGCACAAATTTACAAATTCTTCATGTATAAAGGAACTCATGATTTTTATTATTTTCTAACTATTTACCAGTTTTTTTTTAAAGACAATTTATTAATTAATAATAATACCTTATAATAAAAAGTACACTAAATATTTTATTAAAGTAAAATTAAAGTAAAACAAACATTTTAATAAATTTGGAGTTTAAAAAAATTTTCATGTATAATAAAACTTATACGATTTTTTATTGTTTTAAGAACTGTGAACCATCAATAACCGTTCATAAGTTTTTTAACGACTATTAATTATTTAATATCAGTACCTAAATATAATTTTTATATAAAATGCACTCTATTATTTAATGTTAAGTTTATTACAAAGTTTTTGTTATTTTTTACAATGAATTTAAACTCCGATCTTTTATCAACTCTAAAACCTTTGCACTACATTTGCTCCTTTGTCGGACTGGCTCCATATAGCCAAAACCACCAAAAAACTTACACCAAAAAATATTTGGTGGTACTAAAACCAATTTTGGCAATTGCAAGCCATGTATACATTTGGCAACTAATGCATAATTCTCTCAGAATTACAAAAGGCACCAATATTTTGGACAGAGTTATGCGAATTCAGGACCAAATTTGGTGGCTGTCTACAGTTTTATTTGTTTGTTAAGAATTTTGTGTAAAAAATAGAATTGTTATATTTTTCAACGATTTGCTAAATTTGGATAAGGAATTTGGACGTATATTTTGGTCGCAAAATAGTTACAAAAATTTGCAAAGATTTATTTGGAGTTATTTGGGTTTCAGTTTTGTTGCTGTCGGAGTTTGTACGTATTTTGATTTTTTTATTTATTATGACTTCGATGCCAAAACTTTTTTTTGTAGCTTACCATTTTATGTAAGTTTTTTGAGTTCTGTAGGCACTTTTAATTTAAAATTCGTTGCTCTAAATATTTTAATAAAAGATAGATTTGCAATAATCAACAGACACTTTGATGGTATGACTTGTAAATTTGATGTAAGAAAGGTGAGATTTTTACTACATAGACAAAAAATTTTCCGCAGTTTTCGAGGGACAATATAATAAATTTTATTTCCATTCTATTTCCATTTTATTTCAATTTTATTTATTTTATTTTTTATTTTTAGGTGAGCTTAGTTCTGGACAAGAAAATCGAAGAACAACTGCAGGCAATACGTCTAAGCTGCCAACTACATACGAAACTCTGCAAGATTTCCAGACAATTAAATTCGGCTTATAACATACAAATCATTTTGTAAGTTTTTTTTTTGTCTTAAATTTATTAGAAAACCAGACGCGGTATTTATAGTTTCGATTAATGATGAAAAATATTGTTGACTAGGAGTTTTGTCTTGCAAAGTAAGATTGAGCTATTCATATACAATTCCCTACAGTTTATTTGAAAAAATCCAATGCTATTTAGACATGTTATTTCTAATTGATGTCTCATAAACACATCTGCAATATCTGAAATTATATAAATCAAAAATATCTATAAATTTTTCTCAAGGATATTGATGTAAAAAATTATATGCAAAAATTTACTAAATATTTTTAACTTCTAAAAAAGTTAACTATTATTAACTTTTCGAAGGAGAAGTTTATATTTTCGTTAAAAAATCCGATTCGCTGGTTTTATGTTTTCTCGACGTTTCAAGCCATTCTGAATCGAATGAGACCACATTTGGAAAAAGTATGTGTGTGTGTGTGCGTGTATGTGAACAGATTTTTCACGAGTTGTTTGCAAAATATTTATAATATTCATGTGCTAATATAATGTATAAATCTACACAAACCCATTTTTAAAAATGAAATAGATATAAATGAAAATTTGTTACAAAGATGTTCAAAAATTCTCAGGCAATTAATAAATTGATTTAATTGATAGTTTGAGATCCAAAATAACATTTTCAATAACTGTATTACTCAATAATTCCCTCTATAGCTCAATGACACGCTTTTAACTCATTAAATCGCTTGTAAATTCAAATAGTCCGCTCTATAACTCAATAACTCGCTTTCTAACTCATTAATTTGCTTTGCAACTCAATGACTCGCTCTCGAACTCAATGATTTGCTCTCTAACTCAATAATTTGATCTACAACTCAATAATTCGATCTACAATTCAATAATTAAATCTGTAACTAAATAATTTTGTCTGAAACTGAATTGTTCCATTACTCAATAACTCGCTCAAAAATTCAATATTTGGAGATGAAAACTTCAATAACTCGCCCAACAACTCAATAACTCCTTCAATAACTCAATAACTCGCTCTATAGCTCAAAGACTCACTCAATAATTTACTCAATAATTCAAAAACTCGCTTAATAATTCACCTAATATCTCGAGAATTTACTCCATAACTCAAGATTTCACTCTATAACTCAAAAATTCACTAATAAGTTACTCAGAATCTCACTCATTAGCTCAATAATTTAGACAAAAACTCACTCAATAACACAATAGCTTACTCAATAATTCAAAAACTTAATAATTCGCTCAATAACTCCAAAACTTGCTCAATAATTTACTCAATAACTCAAAAATTTAGTCAAAAACGCAAGAATTCACTCAATAACTTAAAAATTTACTCAATAACTCAAAAATTTAGTCAAAAACGCAAGAATTCACTCAATAACTCAAAAATTTAGTCAAAAACGCAAGAATTCACTCAATAACTCAGAAATTTACTCAACTCAAAAAATCACTCAATGACTCAATGACTCAATGACAATGACTCACTTGGAATCTCAATAACGCAATAACTTACTCGATAATCCAGAAACTCATACCATAATTTACTCAATAATTCAAGAGCTCGCTCAATAATTTGCTCAAAAAGTAAAAAAATCTGTCGATAAATCAAGAATTCAGCCAATGACTCAGAAATTTATTTATTAACTCAAAAATTCACTCAATAACTCAAAAACTCACTCAATAACTCACTTAGAAGCTCACTCGATAACACAATAACTTACATAAAAACTCACTCAACAACGCAATAAATTACTCTAAAACTTATTCAATGATTCAAAAACTCATTCAAGAATTTACTCAGTAACTTAATTATTTACGCAATAACTCACAAATCCACTCAATAATTCAAAAAATCACTCGATAACTCAAAAATTCTTGCAACATCTCATTAATTCACTCAACAACTCAAAAATTCACTTAATAACCCAAAAATTCAATCATTAATTTACTCAAAATCTCACTCAATAACTTACACAAAAAGTCACTGAATAACGCAATAACTTGCTTTGAAACTTACTCAATAATCGAAAAAAAAAAACAATAATTTACTCAATAACTCAAAAATTCACTCAATAACTCAATGACTTAATAATTTACCTAATAACTTAATAACTTATTTAAAAACGCACTTAAAAACTCACTCAATAACTTACTCAATAACTCAAAAACTTATTCAATAAGTCAAAAACTCGAATCATTTTCTTTAGAAATCAATAACAAAAAATTGCCTGAAATAGAAAGTTTGAAATAAATATGACATCAGTCCTCTTTTCAAATGTTTTATAAAAACTATACAGACATTTTTGGAATTGTTAGCTAAATTATATACATTATCTACTGAAAAAAATCCCATAATGCACCTTCGACAAATATGTGTGAAACGCTTTTTGGAAACCAGTGGAATATATATTTAGAATTATTTATTCGCTATCAAATAATCATATTTTTATACAATTAAAATTAAATATTTATAATTACAACTCAAATTTTAATTCTATATCTTTCATCTAGGTATGTGGCCCTTACATTCGTAGTAGTGGTGACCCAACTATACTACGTGGCCCTAGGATTCATGGACCCTGTAAACGAATATCGGAGCACGTCCGAGATCATAATGTCCGTGAATTGGGCCAATTATCATTTAATTGGTGTCATAGCATTGGCCGTCAGCTGCCATAGGGCCAGCAAGGAGGCCGCCAGGACCGGAGTGCTTTTGCACAGGATGAGGAACCGACATCAGAGCCGGGTTAAAGAAGTGGTAAGTAGAAGAAAAAAATTTAGTTTTTAGTCCAGTCATTTGGTCATTTTGCCGGTACAGTACTCCGGGTATTCTGAAAATTGTTAATCTTATAGATTTTGAGGTGCTCTTTACGAAAATCAACTTTGCCACCTCAAATTTGAACGGGAAGTTGCCGCCATATTGGAAAAATGGTATCAAAAAACAGCTTTTTTAAAATATCTCTTTTTTGGTTCATTCTACGATAAAAGTATCTATTTACGAATTAAACTAGATAAAATTTCCTACAATTCTTTAGAAAACCGTTTTTTGTAAAATTGATAGTTTGAGAGTACGGCCGCCTCAAAATCTTTGCTGCTCTCGCCGTAGTATCAAATCTCTCCATATATGACAGCACTTCGAACTTGACCACATTCTTTCTAATAATTAATATTTTCAATGTTAAATTAAGCGAATAAGATCTAGAAATAAAATAATTCAAATATTTTTCTGTTTTTTTGCTGATTTTTTAACGCTTCAGTAGCAAAGTAGCTATAAACAAAATTAAACTAGAGAAAACTTTCTAAAATTTATTCAACATCTTTTATTTTGTTAAACCAATTATTTTATTTCTAGATCTTATTTGCTTAATTTAACATTGAAAAATTAGTTTGTGCCCCAAAGTCTTGTGAAAGAACTGATTATCTTACTTACTTCATACTTTTAATTTTGTATTTATTATATCAAACTCACGTAACTTTTAATATTTTTTTTATTAAACATAATTTTATATTATAGTCTTCGCATCTGTTACTCTGCAAGATGCCTACCTGTCAATTTCTGTTCTTAGTTCTAAAACTACTTACATTGTTCTCAAAAAAGAATATAAAAAAGTTTTTTACATAAACTATATAAGAGTACGCTGACGCTAACAAAACTTTGACTATTATTTTCAAAAGTTTTGAATTACTTAATTCTGTGTTGAAACAAGAGAAATATATAGGGGAAACTGATGGAAAACGTTGTAATTTGAAAATAATGTTTTTGATGGAACATTTTTATTAAAAAAATGTAATTTTGTACATAAATATTTAATTTATTTGTGATATTATAGGTAATTTCGAACAATATATTTTGGATACAATTCTTTGAACTCTTTCTGAGAAAGTTTGAAACAACTTAAGCAGATTTGTCATAGACATATATTTTTTCATTTTTCCATTTTTTTCAGTTATTTACCACACTATTTCCCATTGCTATTATTATTATTATGATTCTAGATACAAATGTATCTTTTCCCCCAGTTTTCCTCTCAGAGTGGAATGATCCACCACAAACTTTTAAGCAAAAGCTCATCGAGCTCCCAAAGCTTTAAGCTTTCATTGTATCGGTAGAATTATCTTGTCAAACAGTTCATTTTTCATATTATCACCTAACATTTGCTAGAATTTTCGAGGAAATATATTGTCGTCGTCGTCGTCCTCGGATGAATGATCGTTCTTTGTTTTATGAACTGTAAACCATCATTGAGGGAAAAAAATAGAATTTGTGGCGGTATTTTTAAGTTTAGAACTAAAATATTTTAACATCACACAATAATAAATGACACATATAAAATAAACTACCTATTTCTTTCTTCATCTTTTCTATCTCTATATTTCTTATCTATACTCCTATCTGTATTTTTATGTTTTTCCATTACTTTATATTTTTTTCCATATCTCTCTATATTTTTATATCTCTCTATTTCTTTCTATATCTCTGTCTTTTTTCTAACTCTTTATATCTCTTTCTATCACTATCTATTACTTTCTATCACTTTCTATTTCTATTTTTTAAAGAAATTTAATTATAATATTTTTAAAAGTTTTGACAAATTTTTATTATTTTTTTAGATTGAGATGTGGTCTTTGCAATTACTTCACCAAAAACTCGGTTACACAGCTGGTGGACTTTTTAGTATCGACATGACTTTAGTTTATTCGGTAAGATTAATTAATTATAAAACACAATAATAAAATATATAGATAAATATTATTAAATTTCCTTTATTGTTACATTCTCCATTGAAGTTATGATTATTCATAGGATAAATTTATTAAAACAGTTTCAACTCTTATATCGACTGGCACAATAATACGTAATCCTAACAGATTTTTCAAAGCATTTATAACTGAATTATATATATATATATATATATATATATGTGTATATATATATATATTATTAATTTTTTTTTCAGATTATTGGTTCAATGACGACATATCTAGTAATTTTGATACAATTCAACATGCTGGGAGCCCAAAGAAAAACGCCTTTATTCAGTTCACCAGATAATCAGACAGCATTATCGATAACATCATAAAATTAAGATAATTAATTAATTTTTAAAATATTTATGTAAATAAAATAAATTAGTTTTGATAATCATAGCATTAGTTAAAGATTGTATAGGATAAAAATAAATTATGTTAATAATTGTAGATCTGGATAAGATGTATATATTACACTTTTGGGAAAAGTTTATATATATATATATATATATATATATATATATAAATATATAAGAGATGTAGATTATTAAAATAAATCCTAGCTAAATTATTATATTATTTATTAGAACGTCACAAATATTATTCAATTTAGTTGCATTAGCAAAAAGTGCTTTTATTTTTAATTTATTATATAGAAATGCTTGAAATTTATTTTATAAATATATCGACGCAAAAATTTTATAATATTTTTTTTACTTAGTAACTTGTTCAAAATAAATTTTAAATTTTAATGTATAAAAGTAATTGATTAAATGAATTAATATCAGCTGATGCAACTTGAATAGATAGAAAATTGTATGTATTTATAGTAATATATTTCTTGATGAACGTAATATCGTAATAACAAATTTGTTGTAGAAAATATTTAAAATTATATTAAATATCTTATTCATATTTTATTACAGAAAAATTATTGAAATTTATTTTGTAAATACAAATAAATTGAAATTTATTTTGAAAATACAAAAATGTTTGTGATATTTTTCGACTTTTCATCTATAATTAATACTTTGTAATATACAATATTTAGTGATTACTTTCAAAGTTTTGACAAATATAATACAAGGATGCTTTCAAATTATTTGTTATACAACTTTGTTTCCGCCGTTTTTTAGATAGAAGTTCTCTAGAAAACGGCGGATGCAAAGTTGTATACCTCATTTTTTTCAATTGTGTTTTAGATTCATTGACAAATCTAATATACAATTTAAATTGTAATCATAATCAAAAAATTTAAATATGAGTGTATTTATTCATATTTTGCTAAAGAGAAATGACTAAAATTAATTTCTAAAAAAAATATAAATATTTTTTTTAGTAACTTTTAGTAACCAAATTTTATGGTTTTCAAATTTTACTATAATAAATAATTAGCTAAAGCATTTACAAAAAGTTAGAAAATGGTATTATATTGATTAAAAAATGCAATCTATTTGAAAAGAACTAAATTATAATATTTATTATTAGAAAATAATAAATAATATTAAATTTTATCACAGGATAGCGATCCTTCTCACGCCGTCAATTAATATATAACTGTAACAAATGTAGCTGAATGTACTTTGTATAGCTTGCTATGAATAATAAATTAAAAAAAAAATTTATTACAATCAATTGTTTTCAATATATAATAATACAAAATTCGTTCATTTCTATTTCATAATGCAGAAGTTTATTTTAAAACATATAAATTTAATTTATGATAGAACTAATAAAACTATAAAAAATATTCAATTTCTGGATTGTAAATATTAGTTTTAGTACAAAATCAATAAAAAAATTACCTATTTTTTAGAATTGCAAATGGAATTTAAATTTATTAGAAAATATGTACAACCGTATATATAAAATAGATATAATTATTTATATGTTTATAAATTGAATTAGATTAATATAAGTAGATATAATTCTAATTAAAATTAAATATAATTATTTATATGTATATATAAAAAAAATTATTATATAAAAGTAAATTTAATAAAATTTCAAATATTTATATTTGAATATTTTATATATTTGAATTGGAATATTTATATTGAGTCTTAAATTTATTTAAAAATTTCCTATTTATTGATATTACTTTTATAATTTATACATTTAAAAAAATGTATATATCTTTGTATATAAAACAGATAAAATTTATTTTCATAAAATTATGAGAAATAAGTTAAGAAAAATATTACAGTAAGAACATTTATGTGATATATTCGTAAACATAGAAGTAATCCTATATTAATGTACAAACAAAATAAACACAAATAAAAGAAATATAATTTCTGAGTTATAAGATATTTTCGAAGATGACTTTTTCTACATTCTCTCGAACAAATATCATCTTGAACGCATAAATCATAATCATAAAATCTCTCAATAAAGTAATTCTGGAAATATTCGATTCTAGGAAAACTAGTACAAAGTTTTATTACTTTGTTATTTAATATTAAACCAGTGGCAAATAATAAATACATAAGAAGAAAATACATTTTCTTAAACAAATATGAAATGCAAAAACATCTATATTTTTGATATTTATCTTATTCTATTTTAAAACATGTCTCCGGCTTCGTGTAAAACTTCAAGAAGAGTAATTAAGAATTTTGCTCCCGCTAACTATTTTATTTGCACTATAAAACCCAACTTTGTTTTTATTTACTAATTAAACAAAAACAACGACAAAGTTGTTCTTATAACACAACTGTACAACAAGAATTATTTATTGATTCTCGGTCGAGGAGAGAAAAGTTTCCTGAAGAAAAGATAAAGGAAATTGGAGTAAAAGTAGTAAAATAATTTGCGGATGGAAAAGGTAGTTTTTTGTTGAAGTAATTTACATATTTATAATTAGGATAATTATAATCAGCGAAAATGCAACGGAAGTGCGTTACGCCCCAAATACTGTTTCGTGATTGGTCGATGCGGTTCAAACAATACAGGGCAATTTTCGATCACCATTTTCGTCTCTAGCTACATTGTTATTAATAATTTCCCTAAACAGCTATCTGATTACTCCATAATGTATGTTAAATATGTGTTTAAATCGACTTTAACCGCATGCTGTTAATTTTAATCGATAGTTAGTCGAATATTATTATCATTATCGAACTGAACCGGTCAGCGGAATTGTTAATTTTATGACCGGACTTCGGGTCAATATTATATGTATCAGGTGTCGGACACAGTTTGCCAAATTATAATAGGAAATGAATTTGTAATCAGCATTAAACTTAGCTGATGTCATGGAATTGTAGTAAAAATATATTGCGAAAAGACAAGATATAAAACTTAGAACAAGATCTTAAATTTAGAACTATCTCTAAAATGTATTACAAGACCTAAAATTTAATACAAGATCTGAAATTCAGTACAATATGGGTCTAGGCCGATTTCAAAAATTCAATATCCATTTGATGTAATTCGTTAAGGACTAGCGTTTGTCAGTTTTGCGCAACGATCAGCCAAGTCATTTCTTCGTAAATAACAAAAAATTGTAAAACTATTTGTCCACTTTTTAGACTGCAATTCTGAATCAATTTTAAAAATTTAAAAACTGTTCAAAAGATATTGGTTGAGACGTTTTCTCTGAAACGGTTGAGTGGATTTTAAATATTTGCAAACCATTCGATGAAACTTGATAAACACTCGTATTGGTTACATTTTCGATACGATGAGCTGAACAGTGTCTTTGTAATTAGCAGAAACGTGAAAAAAATCCGTCTTTGTTTTAGTCAAAAATTTTGGATCAATTATAATATTCGAAAGATATTATTTGGGAGTTATGTTGATTACCTTTGGGCAAACATTGGCCGAGCCGTTTCTTCGTACTTACGTGTTGCAATTTTTTTATGCAACTTCTTATGTTAGATATTATGGTATTAAAAAACATACTAATTTTACGACAAGTGCTTATTTTAAAAAATCATCAACTTTTGGAAAAATATCATAGTGAAAATTCGTGTCAAAAGTTGCTTTTGTGATGTGATGAGTCACATTGTCAATTCACTAAAATTTAAAATTATAAGCTACAATTTTAGGACATGCAATAATTACAGATAATTTAAATGTATTAAAGCAAATTTAATTTGAAATCTTAAATTAATCATTATTTAAGAAATAAATCATTATTTTTGAAACAAACAGTTAAAAATTTTATTTTTTTTATTATCTAAAACTCAATTTCGGTTGGTTTAGTCAATTATTACATATTTCGAGAAGTTCATGTAATTTGCCTTAAGGCAAAATACCACTTTCAGCAAGTTCACAACACGAATAATGTGTTTACTAAAAATATCTGATAACTAGCTGTAAGTGGAATTCTGTCTTAAGGCAATTAAGGCATCGTGCCTTAAGGCAAATTGCTGGAACTTCCCGTACCAAAAATTATTATAAGATAGTTTAGATATGATAAGTACAGATCAATTAATAATTGTATATATAATAAATTAATTTTTAACGACTTTTGAGATTAGAAATAAACATATAAAAAACGCCTTTCTGAATATTCCTCAAGGGACATGTTATTGTTATATGTTTGGGTTATTTTTAATGGTAATCAATCAATAATTACACTGGGTTGTTTTATCTATAATTAGGCAAAAATCCATCTATTTTATTTTTAACTTCATGATTTTTTGACCAGAATGACTGATTGCTTGAATTTTCTTATTTTAAAAAAAAAAATATATTCTTTTTAGATAAATAGATATTATTTCAGTTTAAATGTTATTAAATAAAAATTTTGGATTATTTATCATATTATAACACAATAATTTATACATAAAGCATAAATGTAGTCGAAAAACCACCAAAACGGTCATCGGTATTATAATATATATTGTTAATTTTAAACAAAAATAAAATAAATAAAAAGAAAATGTTATCAGAAACACATATTACATCAATTAAACTTCTAAAATCCGCAATAAAAAAACCTGCTCTTTTAGATCACTTTTCACGAAAAAAAATCCGACCGTTAAGAGTTAACAAGAAAATTTTTTTTATTATTATTTTTTTTTTCATAAAAATGTTTTCTTTATTTTGACAGATTTTGGAATATCTGAACTCTTTTTCAAAGCAATCGAACTGCATAGAGACAAAATATAAAGCGCGTAAGCGTCGCGTCGCTGTCTAACGGATAAACGATAACGGATATTGGTACGAAACCCATAGGAATGTAAACAAAATTTATACTTATTGTTAAAATCTCTATAAAATATCTAATAATTTGATGTATCTATGTCTAATGATCATTTTTGACCGCCAAATGGCTTTTTTTTTTTACTTTTTTCGTTAGATCTCCGAAACCGCTAGACCT